TTGTCAGTAGAATTTCGAAAAATTACTTCGCTTGACAAATTTTGCAGATAATCTTAACTGGATAGAACTCGGAAGTTTTTTTAAAATACTGGGTGGATGATTTTAATCAACGTGAATATAGTTTTAAAAGTTTCCGGTTTTGGAATACGGTTGGAAAATGTGGTTATTGAGATTTAGCATGATGTCTAGATAATTTAAAAATTTCAGGTCAACTTCTATTTTTAAAAACCGCTAAACCATCGTCCCGGTATAATTCAAATTCATTTTTATTGTAAAATTGCGAAATCTAAAACAAAAGAAAAATTCCTACAAGTTCGCATGCCTCAGCACCGTCAAAGGCTCCTATTGACACAACAAATAATACCCCTGATTTCTTTATCCATACTTGATCGTTATTAAAAAGTAGTGAATTTCTTGCGTGTTAAATTAATGACTTATTCTCAGGATCAATAACCAGATGTTGCTCAGCAAAACTAATAGAAATCCAAACTTATTAAATAAAAGAAGTGAAATAATACTCAAGTGCAGGCATAGAAACAAATTTCTTCTGGCTAATTTCGATACCGGTGATTAATCCAGTTTCTATGTTACTTTTTGTTTTGTTTTGACGTCAGAACCCATTATATTGTATTTTGTAAAACTTGTAACAATATATATATATATATATATATATATATATATATATATATATATATATATATATATATATATATATATATATCTCCATATATATATATATATATATATATCAGGGCCGGGTTGAACATTTGTGTGGCCCTGGGGCACTAAAATTTGTGGAGGCCCTCGAGAAAGGTTTTCAAGCAAGCATAGCGAACGTTTAGTACCGTTTACCGGTACTAAAATTGTATTGTAATGTAATGTGTTAAAATCTAAAGTAACTCCGCATAAGGTTTGACCATCATATAAATTGGGGGTAATGCTAAAGCAATGTATGGACAAATAAAAGCAATCAATAGATATGAAACATATAATGATATAAACATGTATTTTGTTCAACTTTGTAAAAATTTGTAAGATTATAAAGAAAGGTAAGTCTTTCTAGCTTTTTGCAAAACAAATGTTTTCACAATATCTGAGAAATTAATCTCCCGTAGTAAATCGGATACTTTGCTCATTAGTGTCAAATAAGAAAATCGATTTTGGCTCATATTGGTCCTTAGTCTGTTTTTGATAAGTTTCAATTTGGAAAACGATCGTTCTCCCGAACAATTCGAGACCATTAGGACCAAGTTCATCTTTAATAGGATTTCTATATTTTGAAAACTTGAGATGAAGTTATTCGCATTTAAAATTTTGTAAAAGAAAAGTTCTTAGGACACATTTGTCATCATAGTCATCCATATAAAGCTTTAGAAGAGCTGAAAATTGAACAAGCTCATTTCCGAGACTTTCTTCAAGGTCTTGTACTTGTTAACCAAATTGTTTGCAGACATCATTATTTCGTTTGGTTCTATTTCATCAAGGCGATTCAGATAGCCAAAATATAATTGTTTTAATTTTGCATTATAATTGTTTGAAGGAGTCTTCGTTTTTCATTCTAGAAACTCATTGAGCTTTTTTAACCAAATACATTCAAAGAGTCGGCAGCCTATTTTTCCATATGTATGCATCTTAATTCGAATTTTTAATACAATACCAGAATCTGTTGCTGAGGGTGAACAATCCTTTAGTAAACTTAAATTGATAGAGAATTATTGTAAAGCCACTATGGGACAAGAGCGTCTTTTGGATCTCATGATGTTTTCAGTGAAAAATGAGTTGCCTAAAACTCATTGATATGATGATAAAATAATAAATTTTGCCGGTAAAAAAGCAAGAAAAGAGTATTTTATAAGGGTCGTTTTTTGTTATTTTAATTTTTAAAGAAAAATAATAATAATAATAATAATGTCTAATAACGCACTTTGGGTTGTATATGCGTTGCTGAGTTGTATTTTTTATAGACGCCTTTTTTGAAAGTTTTGCTGTAAATTGATTTTAACAAAAATAAATCACAATTAAAAAATTTCATTTTAAAACCGTGTACAGTTATATATATGTACCGTACAGTTGTATATATGAACCGTGTACAGTTATATATACACATATATATGCATGAATGAATTCGATTAATTTTTTTTTTAAATCATGTATGCTTAAATGGGCGCCTACTCAACGCTATGCCCCGGGCGCCACAAAAGCTTTCGGCGGCCCTGAGTATGTCTAACCTATTAAGAATTAACTTATTTCCTGTTATTAATTGTTTGTTAATTCCTGTTCTTATTTTTTATAAAACTAACTATAGATGCCTCTTCATCTTCTGAATATATAGTAGAAAAACTTCGTTCTTGTCCATTAGTCACTTATAGTAGATTCATCAATTGTCTTTTAATAATCCCCATAAATATAATAACAATTCCCACAACAATCATAAATAAAGGGGTATAATAACAATGAATATCTAATACTTGGGGGTGGTTTACAAGAGTACGTCACAATACAGTTTTTAAATCAGGCACAAATACCTTAAAAACTACCATCAAACAGCTAACCTGGTGATTACCTAATAAAATGCGAGAAAAAAATTACATTGGCGAAAGAAAAATGAAAAATAGCGACAAGAATGAAACAACACTAAAGAATTATACTTACTTTTTAATGCTATGAAAAATGAAGAAAAATGTGACTAATCAGCAATTGAGCATAATAAAAAGCAAATTTTCATGTAATGTAAAATTGCAATTTTTTTTTAAACTAATTCACTCCCACTACGACTGCAAGAAATTACTATTAATATAGATCATCTAGGTCACGTTTCAAAAATCCAGAAAATTGTTCGGGTAAAATGATTTAAGGCTACGCAGCAATAGTTAATGCTTATAACTTCTAATTTTTACATAAGTTAACGATAACAACTAATATCAAACTCATTAAACTCTTTTTTTTTGTAACTTGTTTTTAGCTTTCATATAAATTTCAAAATATTATCTTATTGACTTAGCTAAATGCAGTTTTACTAAAAATTGCCTTTGAATTAAAGTCGAAATATAATTTTTTTTTGGCCTTGTTAACAACTGTTTACTTCATGTATATGATGCTAAATTTATAAAACGTTAATAAAAACAAACATATTTAGGTTTCCACTTCAAGCCTAGGCAAATTGACGGTGGCAACTTTAAAAAGATTTTTATTTGCACTAAAACTAGTATTAGAACTCAAAGAACTTAAGGTTTACTTACATATATATATATTTTTTATAAGCATAGCGTTTATAAGCATATAAAGGCTCAGATTTGGAAAAAAAAAAAAAAAAGCATATGTAAGCATATTTCTGAGCCTCGATAAAATATTTAAAAGATTTTATTTAATTAAAAATTTTAAATATATATATTTCTAAATTTAAACCTACAAAAACAACAAAAATCGAAGTTTATGTTTTGCAGTGCAACGACTTTATGAAGTAAAGAAGTCATTGTAATGCAAAATCTCAACCTCAATACCTGACCGGTAAAACATAAATTTTAAGAGTTAAAAATGAGATCGAAACAAAGAAACTTTAAAGAAACATAGAAAAGAAATGGAACCAATATTACAGAAATGGCATGCAACATACAGAGAAAAGTGTATCAGAACAGGTTCTAAAGATCCCAGCTATGACAAAAAATGGGGACAGTACCAACCTGGACAAAGGCTCAACGTTAACCAGAGCCCAGTTCCCTTTGTTGTTCATGGTAAAAAAAACTTACGAGCATGTTCCCAAGGGTCAAGGTGGAACACATAATACATGGATCTCACAACCGGGCTCAGGATTGGAAAAAAGGCAATGTTCCCTTCAAATTATGTTTCAGCCAGAAGGAGAGCAACCAAAGCTAGCCAATATTTTTAGAGGTCAAGAAAAACGCATTTCAAAAGACAAAAAGTTAGCATGACACAAAGATATTCACGTTTACTTCCAACAAAATGCTTGGTTAGATCAAAACGTTTGTAAGCACTTGTGTGATAAAACACTCCTTCCATTTTTCGAGAACAATAGCTTGATAAATTTGTTCTTTTGCTGGACAATTTGAAGGGATAGATGCAGGAGGATTTTAAAGATACTGTGGCTGCTGCTAAAGGACTTCTCTGGTACAGTTTACCAAGTGCCACTGAGCTTTGTCAACCTGTTGATGCAGGATATGCTACCACTCTAAAAAGGCTTATTCCCTTATTATATGAGATAATCATTCTGATAGATGGTTCAGTAAAAAAATGCCCTACACCGCAAAATATAGACGAATTTTGATTACACATTGGGCAGGGGAAGCATGGAAAGTTTTAAACACTTCTAAGTATGACAAGCAAAAGAAGAAATGTTGGACAATGACTGGTGTTTAATGACTTCTGATGGCTCAGAAAATTCGCTTGTTAAACCAGAGGGCCTTGATAGTTACAAAGTGCCCCCACCATCCATCATTGATCCTGGCAGTGATAAATCCAAGGGAAATCAAAGTGATATTCAACCAGTGGAGGTAGATGATGCTATAAATGAAGATACCAGCGAAATTCTTCCAGATGACACCATTATGGGTCCGGACGAGAAAGAATGTGAAGTTCATATCTTTGATTTCATCAACATTTGTATATAGTATATATATTTATTTTTTATTATAGTGTACTAAAGTCAACTTTTTATTTGCCTGGTAACCATTAACCTTTAGTAACGCACGCACTTTTAGAAAGTATTGAAATTACCATATTTTATTGGGAATATGCTTAAGTTTAAGCATATTTTTGAGCCTCTTAACTTTTTGCTTAAGCATACCCAAGCCTGTTTCAAAAGTTTTATATGCTTATAAAAAAAAACATTTATTCAACTTTATATATCAATTAGTAAATCGCAATTTAAAATGATCTTTTTAACTTAAAATGTATAATATATTAAATTTGTAATGTATTTCATTACTTTTCAACTGGAAAATGAAAATCAGGCAAAAATTCTTTAAAAAATACAAACAACGCTATTAGCATTAATGATTCGTAAAAAAGTATAATAAATAAAAACATAAAGTTATATACAGAAATCCAAGGCAACTAAAACAATCTTGGATAGTTCTTTACTTCATCTGCTGTATATTCATCTAACCTTCTCGGCATGGGGTGAGGCGCCTTTAACTTGGCATAAATGTTTATAGCAAATGGATGTTGATCATCTTCGAACAAGTGCAACCGTTTCATTTGTAAGTTTCTAGATCGAGTTTTAGGCATCATTCCGCGCACCGCCCTCCATAAAATTTGACAAGGGTCATTTTTAAAGACTTCTTTAGCCTGTATTTCTTTTAATCCACCAGGATATCCAGTATGATGACGATAAATTTTACTTTCCCAAACGCGATGTCCTTTCATATATATATGCTTACAGTTCGTAACAACAACATGATCTCCAAGATCACTGCAAGGATGATATATTGGTTTGTGTTTTCCTAATAATATTTGGGCAATATAGCCAGCAAGCTTCCCATTCATTTGATCTCGAGCATCAATCAAGTACCACACTCTTGCATTAGTCAGAAAACTCTGAGAAGAACGCACAATAAATGACATTCTCCTAAAATCAATACAAACATTTATATTGTAGATATACGCAAACGTACATACATAAAAATACATGTTAATATATGCTTATGCATTTATATTCGTATGTCTTATATTCATATATCTATAAACATGCAAATTAAAAAATATAACTTAAAACATAAATACTTGCTCAAATACTTGTAAATGAATAAAATTAATAAATACAACAATTATACAAATTTCTTTCTTTTTCTTTTTTTTTGCTGAATCATTTAATGATTTCAAATATGACAGCAAACATAAGAATTTAAAAGCTAAAAATATATTAAAAAAAAATTCTTTTGCTTCAATATACAAAACAAATTAATGAATTTAATTATTTAAAAAGAAATTCAGGATACATAGCTTACACATAAAGATTGATGGATTAAAGCATATAGCGGTAAAAGTAAAATGTTTAGCTTATACACAAAAATCAATAGATTTATTTAACAAATTTAAAAACCTTTATTAACAACAACAAAAAAGACTAAAATCAATAGTTTTTTATATTTCCAATATTATTTTTATTTCAATAATAACAATTCCAAAACATGTCAGTAATTACTGTGCATTCTTTGTCAAATATCGAGTTCATTGGAACCACGCCTTTAAAAAAAAAAGGCATCGTGACTAATTGAAGACTATCAATGAATTTTTTTCAGAACAACTTTTCTAATCTTAAGAAAAAAAATTTCTGTTGATAAGCATTACTATTTCTACATTCAAAAAACAAACTAGTTAAGCAAAAGCGTCTTCTCGGTCTGCTGATTGTTCGGTTTCATCAATGTTACTGAAGTTAAGGAAATGTGAGGGACGATGTACTTCATGATAGAACTCTTTTGGATTTGAAAGTTGAAGCTCGTAACGCATATTTCCAGAATGTCTGACGCCTAAATTATTAGGACACTTTTAGTAACACTATAAACTTTAATATAAAACCTATTTGTATAGCAAACAATAAACTTACCCATAAAATTGTAGTTCCAAGGTCCCTGTGATGGCACCATAAAAAAGCCCAAAAATCGATCTGATAACAACATCTGTACCTTTTCATAATGTGAAGGCAAATAACCTCTAGGATTGTTACCTGTATCTTTGTTATTACGGCCCCATTCAAATCCAGACGGCGTCAATTTATAGGCAGTCAAAGAACACGATCCAGGCGTAAAGCTAGTTAAATTTAGAATTAGAAACAATTTTAAAAATTTATTTTACTAAAACTTGATAAAAAAATTTGACAACTTAAAAATATTGATAAAATAGCACTTGACAGACCTGCATGTAATAATAATTGTTTTCTCGCCATCCCAACTTGGATTATCAGCCATAATTTTAGCGTGGGTGGTAACATCTTGAGGTGATAACTGAGGCAACTCATTGGGCTGAGTGTGTATCCATCCAAGAGGTTCCATTTCCTGTAAAAAGTTATAAAGAATGTTATAAATTCATTAAAAAGTTGTTGGTCATACTATAGAGGAGATTACATGACAGATATTTAAATGGGTAAGAAAGTTTGCTAAACTTTAATCTGTTTTGCAAAAAAAAAATTATAACTTTATTTAATCATAAAATATTTAATTTTTAAACATTCCGAATTATGGATAGCCATAATTCGGAATTTGTAATAAATTGGATTTTTTATTTATGTAAATTGTAGTCAATCAGAAGCTTGAAATGCGTTTTAAAACTTTAGGCAATTGCATTGACAGATGAAAACAAATTTAAAAGATAAACTCAACATTAAGCCTTTGCACTACACTAGTCAAAGATACAATAACAAGAGTATGTTGTAAACCTTTTTACTAACTTACTATCTAAAAAAACGTTTTACACAGATTTTATATTTAGTCTAAATTAACCAAAAAAGTACCTTTAAAAAGTCATGTTGAGGTAAAGATTGAGGCAAGTGAACAGTTTGATGAGTACCCCACTGTGGTACAAGCACAATACAGCGAATCTCTTTTACTTGAGGGTTATCAGTAGGACTGACTCCATACATGTAACCAGCAATCTAAACACATACAAAATATAAAACATAAATCTTAACATACATAAAATAAAAAATTACAATAACAATAAAAAAATAAAATTAATAAACCATAATAGTAAAAAAATAAAAGCAACAAAATCTTTAATATTAAAAAAAAAAAAAAAAGCTTACTTGAGTACGAAGATCTGATATGACAATAAATTTTTTGAGAACATTCTTCGGTAAAATATAAGTAAAGCCAGTTTCCTTTATATCATCAGATGAAACATAGATATGATTGGTTCTCAAATGTAAATTAGTAGCTGAAATAGCACGAACTCTCCATTCTGTTTTGGAAGAGAATGTCGATCTTTCATAATTGCTAGTTGTCGAAACAATTATTTCATCACCATGTATATTTGTTGTTTTCGTTGTTGTTGCAGTAAGTTGGGACTGATCTTTTGTTTGCTTTTCAATTTCAGCAATTTGTTGTCTTTGTTGAGATGGTGCAGATATTTCCATACCCAAAATGATATCACGAATTTCTGACTGTGTTAATGAAGCAACATTGACGCTAAAAAGCAGAGAAATTAACACTTTTCACCAAAAAAAAAAAAAAATAAGCGTAGTGATATAAGTGTGTGTACACAAACTAAGACAGCAGAATTAAATCAAGTCATTATAGCATTTTGAACAAATTAAAAAATTAAAACAGGAAAATTTTGCCACCTTAAAATTTTTGCAATATTAAATGTTCAGACATTACTTTCACCAATAAAACTTACAGAACAACAACAACAAAAAACTAAATAATTACTTGTTCTTTTTGCCATAGTCAGCTAAAATTAAGTCTTTAAGTTGTACCTAAACAGAGTTTATAAGGATAAACGAAAGCATATTTTAAAGTAAAACATAATAAACATAATTAAACTAAACATACCTCAATTCTAACCCACTCATCATCTGTTACAGTAGGCCATATATGATGTGGTTCAGTGATAGTTGTTTTATCTGGTTTAAGAATAACTTTTGTACGATCAGTATTTACATGCAAAGCTCGAAGAATCAATATTAACCTGGAAAACGCAGTATATGAAGATATCGTCTTTAGCCAATCATCATACAAATTAAATAAAACCATTTGCGGTTCAGTTGCTTTTAAGATGAGATCACCAAGTTTCTCTACCTGTAAGGCATTCAAAATTTATTTTATTGACAAATCTTGTTAGACGATTCTACACTTTAGGGAGATTTTTACACTTTAAGGAGGAAAGAATTGAAATCTTATGAGTATAAGATACAAATACAAAATGAATCTTACTTTAAGACAAGCTTGGAATGGTAATTGAAGTTCACTGCCTTTAATGACAATATTTGGAAAATCCAACAGATGTACCTATTAAAAAAAGACTTTTTATAACAAATAAAAGTAAAAAACAAAGGTTTTTAAATTAAATTTATTGAAAATGTTTTACAACATTTTAAACAATTACTAGGTAACTTTTCAAATGATTAAAAAGTAATACCTTAACACTGATGTTTAAAAACAAAAATTTACTCATGTACTGATAGGAAGATATAAGTAAATGCTTTTGTAAGCTTTTTTCAAATGAAATTGTTTACTGCAAAAATATAATACAACAATGTTTTAAAATTTTTTAAAATTATTACAAGTACCAAGTTGTTAAGGATGCACACTACCAGGGCGTTTTTGACAGCGTTGACTGTATTTGGGTGCCGCGCAAATTAAAAATTGAAGACCTTTTCTTTTTAAGTTTTTTTTTACAGCAATTTTTTTCTCTGGGACAGAGGGATATAATATATTTCTTTGGGACGAAGAGAAGGGGTACCAGCGCCCAAATTTTTCCCCTAGAATAGCCTCTGACAACTCAGATGATTCAGCTATTCTGGCTGGCGTAAATTTAATTTCACATTTTAATTTGTATTGACACGCCTGAAGCACACAAACAGATTATTTTTTTAATTTGAGCATTTTTTTAAATCAACTAATAAATTCTTTTATTTTAAATTAATTTATAAAACTCAGATTTGTTTAGTTAATATATTCAAAAACCTCTAAAGGATCCAACATTCCTTTTCTTGTAACAATAATTTGCTTGGGCTGTTCTTCAACTGGCAATGATCGAATTAAAGCTGCAACCTCCTCAGCAGTTTTCCATTTGGCTAACTAATCAATATATATTTATGTCAATTAAATATACAAAGGTTACATTAAAGATTACTTTAATGATAAATATTCTCTATATAAATTTACCTGACCAAGACGTTTCTGCCCTGCCCATACTGAAGTATGAATAATTTTTAGAAAAAGTTGTCCTGTTCTTGGATTAAAAATGAATATTGCACCATTAATCGGTTTTGTTGTTAAGTTACCTATCAAATTAATTTTTTTATTTATTTTCATAACTTTCTAATTAAACTTTTACTGAGTTTTTTTCTAAAAAAAGTGAAAATTAATTTTTTTTTTTCCAACAAATAATTATTAAAGAAAAATATTAAGGTAAAGAAACATCAAACCTTCAAATGTTTTGTGAATGGTGACCCGATATACATTAGTATCATCAACAAACCATATAATTTGATTTGAAAAAAGTTCACCATAATTTTGAGAAGACAAGTATGGCTCTGTTGGCTCACTTGAGTATAGCTGAAGAGCTTTCCGGACACGCTCACGAAGTACATACAAAGCAGGATTGGCTTTCATTATTTTTGCCATAGCTTGCTGAATCAATGGCTTCATTCCTGGAACCCAGTTACCAAATGCACTAAAACAATTTATTTAAAAAAGTTAACTAAAACACTGATAAATCTTTTTCAACAATTGTTGTTTATTCAAGTTTATTCAAATTTTATCACTTTTTTCAACCAAAAAAATTCCAAATAAATACAAGTCTAAAGATCAGATTTGGCCAGGAAGGAGTACGTTTTCACACCATAAATGACAAAGGAAATAATACTTTGTGACAATTTGACTTCAGTTTTTAACATTTTAAAAATGCGTTTAAAAAAATGGTTTTTAATTAATTTAAAAATAAATAACTTCGACACATTAATCTTTACTATCGTTTTTATATTAGCAAAACATTTTTAAATGAAGTAACTAATGATTTTAATTAAAGTATCAATAAAAGTTGTATATATTTTTATTTATATTATTATTTATATAAGATTTTTTTTTTTTAATTCTCACATAAAAAGAATTATAATAAATATAAATAAAAGAATATGAAAAAAAAAAATTAAAATTTTATAAGCAACGATTTTAATAAACAATTGTAGAGAAGAAAAAAGACAAACTTTTTTGAAAGCCGTTTGAATTACTTTGATCTTAACTTATGTCTTTATATTATTAAAACGCATTTAAATAAAGTAACAAATCTTTGCTAATAATTTTTTATATAAAGGATTTATAATATCATTTACATTTTTTTATAGTTATTTTATATATATAAATATATCATATATATTATTATAATATATATATCATATATATTATTATAATATATATATCATATATATTATTATAATATATATATCATATATTATTATAATATATATATCATATATATTATTATACTATATATATATATATATATATATATATATATATATATATATATATATATATATATATATATATATATATATATATACATATACATATACATACATACATACATATATATATATATATATCATATATATTATTATAATAATATATATATATATATATATCATATATATTATTATAATATATATACATACATATATATTATTATAATATATATACATATATACATATATATATATATATATATATATATATATATATATATATATATATATATATATATATATATATATATATATATATATATATATATATATATATATATATATATATATATATATATATATATATATAAAGTATGCATTTTTTATTATAAATGACTTTAAATAAAATAATTGTTTTAAAGGCCGTTTTCCACAAGACGAAATATTCGCGCGAAGCGAATTTTTTCGTCGATAAGCATGCACAGATAAAACATTTCTAGCAATTATTGCTAATTATTGCGAGAAATGTTTTATCTGCGCATGCTTATCGACGAAAAAATTCGCTTCGCGCGAATATTTCGTCTTGTGGAAAACGGCCTTAACTTAAAGAAACAATTTAATTTTTTTTCTTCTTTTGTTTACGTTACTGCAAAGAATTATTAAGAATTTTTTTTTTAACTTTAAAATGTGCGTATTTTGTTAGAATTTAAAGTTGTTTCTAAAAAAAGTTGTTACTTTATTTAAATGGGTTTGGCATAACATCATATAAAAACATTAATAAAGATAAACAATTCAAAGTTATTTATTTCAAACATAATTTAAATAATCTTACCATTTAATGTAATTATTTTTGAGTTTAATGTTTTTTATTTTAGGTAAGTTTAAATTTAATTTTTTTGATTTTAGTTTTCGTTAAGTCATATTATGCCGTCTAATCGCACACCTTCCTGGCCAAGCCTGAAAGATGTTAAATAAGCAAACCTATGGAGATTATAAGCAAGATCAACACCTATCAGCACACCAGTAGGTGATGGATATATACTCATATTATCAGTAGTGTAATCAAGGAACTTTGCACGAGTATATCTTTCAACATCGTGCGAATCATAGTCTCCCCAACGTAGCTGAACATCGATCCAGTATTTTTGAGTTGTCGTGTTATCCATAGTGTCTCTAATAAAATAATAAATATCTAATTACATTACTAAATTACTGTATAATCATAATACTAAACAATTTAAGAAACGTCATTTGCATACTTTGAATCAGCAAGTAAAGAAGGTTTTGAAACATTCCATTTATAAGCAGCAAATAACAGAATATCTGCACAAGAACTATTCATTTTATATGATTTACGTGGGTGAATAGTTTCTTTTTGAACTGTTTCAATTTCAAGTGCATCCAATTCTTGATCAAATACCTAAATATAATTTGTCCAACTCACTTTGATAATTAAATTTTTTTTTTCTTGGCCAATAATCAATATTATCAAATTTATAAGCAAATAAAAATATTTAACACAAAAAACTACAATTAAATAAAAACTACAATTAAATAAAAACTCACTTTGATTTGAATTTAAAATAAAAACTCAGATTTTAATTAAAAATAAAACAACTAAAAAATTATTATTTATTTCATTTATTACTAATTTTAAATTCAAATAACATTCAAAAATTAAATGTAAATAATCAAATAAAGTAATACCTGACAAAGATCCATAACAATACTTTCATGAACTTTTTGCCATAAATGAGCTCGAAATATTTGAATAAGAGAAATTTTTAAAGTAGGTATTTTACCATGCATAAAAATACCAGTCAAGTCAAGCTGTACTTGAAAACCAACATAGACCTAAAAAAAAGGAACAAATTATGATAAAATAGTAATGCAAACCTAATACATTGTCATAAAGGACTAAATTTGAAATTTTTTATAAAATATTTTATAACACACGTTTGCTCTATTGATAGTAGGTGACCACCATAATGTAAAACGACGATTTGGGATTTGATTTAAACCAGATCTCTGTGCGTTGGTTAACTTTTTATATTTCATAGACTCCTCAAAACCACTAGCTTTTTCCCAAAATAAACCCTCCCAGGTTGGAAAATAGGTTCCTTTAAATAGAGTATGTTCTAAAATTCCTTCAACACCACCCAGGGCTTGTATCATATCTGTTCGATAATTATTTAGATTCCATAATTTTCCATCATGGCGTTGATGTGTCCACCAGAAAGGGTTTTGCTTTAATACCTATCAACATAAATAAAAAATTGAGTTAAGTTATTTGCATAAATCTAAAAAATTAAGTCTTTCTAAATAAGTTTATTATTTTATTGATTAATAACAAAAAAAAGCCAACGTTGTGACCTGGTATTGTTTAAAGTCAGTTCTCACTCTCCAGCCTTTATCATAAGCAAGAGTATGTCGATCTTTTTGAAAAAGAGTATTGATACGAGGTATTCCTCTATCCCAAGAATCTTCTAAATCTTCTAGAGTCAATCTTCGGTTTTGTGCATTGGCTTCTTGTCTTTTTAGTGCATATTCTGCCCAGACACGCTGTGAATCAATAAACTCACTCTCCCAAGGTTGCACATAGCGATACAAATTTGGAATAACTTGGTCTTCATCGTGACTCATTCCTTTAAACAATAAAAATTATAATTAAAAAATTAAGAAAGTAAATAAGAAAATTAGTAAACTATTTGATAGAAATTACCAGATCTGAAATGAGTAATCCCAACATCTGTTTGCTTAGACCATCGAAGATCAGATTGAGGAATAAGTACATGACCCATTGATAACATACCAAGACCACCAAGTTCTTTAGGAGTATAAAATACAACAGGAGGAAAACGACTAGGCATTTTAGAATTAAGCCCAATTTTAATACGAGTTTGAATCTAAAATATAAAATCTAATAATAAAGCATATATAACAAATAGGTCTAATAAAAATCAATAATTGTTTATAATGTCAGTGACCACTCAAAGTGAAAATCCATGACTTTTCATAAATTTTTATTATAAATTATTAGGGTAAAATATCCAGTGCACGTAATGCACTTAGCCATCGCCACTTAGTCACCAAAAAACATGGGAACTAAAAACTAATTGCTAGAAAGTTCTAAAATCATGCCTGAAAAAAACCTCGGACAATTGTAACTTTAGAAAGACGTGATCTTTTTAGAGACCAAGAAGCTATGGCAACAGTGCATGGTGAGCACTTGTGTTTTACCTTTTCTCAAATTTTGATACATATTTTTTTTTGTTTAAACTTTGACTAGACATACTAGTACTTTTCTTTACAAATATTTTAAAAACATCGCTAGTAGGAAAAAAAAATCTTATTAAAAAAACCCATAAATTCTTCATGACTTTCAATGAAAATTTTTTGAGACTAAATGAAATTTCATGACAGTTACATTATTTCCACAGCCAGTTGTTCCTAAATTTTTTTTGAATTTTTATCGCTTTTATGATTTTTTTTGAAATTTTTTTATAATTTTATTTCATTCTAGATCCAACATGACACACTTTTGAATCATATTTTGTTTTGATATCGAAATATTATATTTCGTTAAATGAAGAACTCTTAAAAATATTTCTTATTTAAATAATCCAGCATTTTAGGTAGTGGAGAATTTTTTTTTGTTGTTGTTTGCAACTTATTGCTTTTTGGGACACCTTAATACTCTGTAATGTATTACCATGACTAAAAAAAGAAATAAACTTTATTTACTATGAAAGTATTTAAATGGTAATTTTGTAAATAAAAAATGTAAATAATTAAAAATCATATATATTTATTTTATATTTCAAACTTATGAGTTCATGGAAACAGTAATATACAAATTTGCTACATTACTCAACAAAGTTTCTACAAGATCAATTAAGCTGTAACACGCATGCGCTATTGCATTGCTAGTATCTAGTATAAGCTGTTGTACACACTTGCCTGTAGGTTACATAAAATTTAACATTTCAGCAATATCTCGTAGCGATTGTAACTGATAATCGCCAATGAAGTGGATTTCTCCACATAATTCATTTCTAAACCAAATACCAGCACCAGGTGCTTTGACATAAACAACATTCCGAAAAAAAAAAAAAATTGTTTTAATAAATACATAAATACAAATACATAAATGCTTTATTTTCAATTTCTGGATGCGTTCTTAATGCAGCTACTGTTTCTTTGCAAAAAACAGACAAACAAAACTTAACAGATTTGTGTCTCTATTGGTTTTGGATAAAATGATTTAGCTGCAAGTTTAGAGAGTTTAAGACTATTGCACTCAGTTTTATATAAAATATTTAAATCACTCCACTTAGCCAAAGCTAGTTCCCTATTGTTCAAAAACTGAAGCTAGCCAGTCTTTTCTGATAACCGATTGTTTTGCATAGATTTTAAGTGATGCACATAATTATACAAAAAATATATACCTGATGTTGTTAATAATGGTTTACTACCAAATTTTTTTAAACATTTCAAAAAACCTTTGATTTACACCGTTACCATCAGTAAATATTGCCAGGGTCTTACTATTTTCAATATTATTTTTTGTATCAACAATTTGTTGACATTGAGCAAATTGAAATTCAGAGGAAAGATTTGCAACAGGTTGAGCTTTACATATAAATTCTGGACATCCAAAAAGACATTTAATCATAAATGATAAAACTGTTTTTCAGGGTGTTTTCTGCTAACTTTTCAGGGTAGTTTACTGCTTAACCAAACAAAGCACCTCTTTGGTAAAGTAATAAAGCTTTGACAATCTCATCAATTAGTAGTATGGAAGTTCTTTTCAATGGATCTAAATTCCTCCATTACGCTTTTTTTTAAGTCAATCTTGTTAAAGTCCGTATACTTGGCAACTTGCAGTCAATACACAAACAATCATATTAACTTCGTCGCAATACTCATATGCTCTACATATAATATCTGCAGTATATAAAACTTTACCAAAATTAACTTTTTTTTAGCATTAAGGTGCTTAAATAGAATTTTTGACTGATGCAAATTATCTTTATTTTTTAAAAATAAAGATAATTTAAAAAAAAAAAAAAAAACTGCTTCAAATAAAGCTGATTTTATTTTTATTAGCTTTAATTTGTTTACAGTTAAAGATGAAATATTACAAGTTGTGCCATTATGGTTAGCTACAAATGAATAATCATCAAAAATTTCTAAAATAAATAATGGAACACCAAGTTTGTAAATTTTTGATTGTACATGTAAACTTTTTTTATTAAGCTGGAAAACAATAACATTGTTATTATCACTTAACAAAGATTGAATATCGTCAAATATAAGTTCATCCTCTTTTAGAAAATCATTTAACTCATCTGGTAAAATGTTCCAAAAACGACTTGAAGTTACAGTTTTTCTAACTTTACTTGCTGGTATGGGTAAACAACTAGATGGAATATTTTTAAAAACAGATGGTGGGTTTAAAGGCTGTGGCTTCCCATATTTGCTTTTAAAAGGTGCATCATCTAGCCAATGCAGTCGACATACTGCTGTATAGCCTGAAACAATTAAACCACTTCTTGGGCAAGCATCACTCCACCTTTTTCTCTCCTCTGGATTCTTCGGAAATTTATAAATTGATATTTTTGTTGTAGTTTAGTGATGTTTCAACAGCATTTTAAAGGCATTTTAATTATTAAAATATCTTTTTTTTAGTTTGACATTACGATGTTAACATCTTGAACCTTACAACGTTAACGTCTTGAAGTTGCACTATCTAATTTATAAACCAATCAAATTTAAAAGATTTATTAAAAGCGCAAACCCAAACTTTTGTCTAATGTTAAAAGATAAAAAAGTAAACACAGTATTAGAAATCGGCCTTCAGTTTTTTCAAATTTTGACAAACACAACTATCTATCTTGCTCATTAAATTAACACTTTACCAGATCTTTAATATTTGTTATTTTTCTGGTCATATAATTAAAAAAAAACCAACCATGCAGCATAACACACATTTAAAGTGTTTTTGGATCACACTGTCAAAGTGTTCAAAACTTAGTGAATGAACTTAAGAAATTTAACTTCATTCAGTGACATTAAACTTAACTTGAAGCTTATTTTTAAATAATTTACTGATAAAATAATTTTTAGATATACATATATATTGTTTTAAAATATATAATACAAACTAAAGTATGCCAATAATTCTATTTTCATTGCTTTGATTGAATTTTGTTCTAATTTCAATATTTTGATCAAATTTTTAATGTTATGATTAAATTTAATGTTAATGTTGTGATTGAATTTTGTGCTCATTTCAATGTTCAATTTAATTTAATTTCCAATTAAGCCAAATTTCCAACTTTTCTTCTGAAATCAATGTTACTAATTCTATTAAATTAGTTGTTTGTTGTTGATGTTTTTTTTTTTAATTAAAACTTCATTATTAAAAACTGTGTTGATCCTTGGTTTTTTGGCAAATTTGAAAAAAAGACTATTACTATTAAGATTAAACTAGATTAGGACTTAATAATTAATTCCAGAAACTTACAAGTTTTATTTTTTGAAACTTAATAATTTCAAAAAAGACTAGCAAGCTTACCATATAAAGAAACTAAAAAAAAAGGCATTGTGAAACTTCTTAAATTGCTGATTTTGTATACTGACCCATAAAAAATCAACTTTTTTGATTTGTAATCCTTCTGAACTAAGCATGTTTTTGCTATTTCTACTGTTACTACTAAGTACTACTATTACTACTAAGTTTTTTTTTTTTATAGATTAGAAACTTTAAATAGGAGTAAAACCTAAAAGAATTGATGCTGAAATTTTCAGGATATACTTTTTTCATAAATACAAACTAACCCGCCAAGTTTTATCAAAATCTGAGGTGCTTTAAGTTGATACCTTAAATTTTTAGTCTATTTGGCATATAATACGCTTTATTATAACAACTGCAGGTTGTCAAGATAAATAAAACATAACTAGTTGTGTTTTAAAATTATCTATACTTTGGTTTCTACCAATAAATGGTTCTTACAATTAGCAATAATAATTATATGCATGGTCAATTATATAAAAATCCTAACATTATATCCATTTATATCTTTTCTCACTGGTTTGTCAAAATCTGGAAAAATTTAATATCAAATGCTGCAAATGCTAAAATTATTCTAATGTTTAGAAAGAAATCAACTTTTTTAATAATAGAATAACACTGATTAAATAAAGTATATAATAGAATAACACTGTTTAAGTAAAGTAACTATATTGTTGTTCATTGTTAAACTATATAGACCTACGTGTCCTTTAGAGCATGTAATTATGGGGCAATAAATTTTACTTCAATTTAAAATTCAATATTAAAAAAATTTATTTTTGTATTAAAATGTTTAAAAAAAAATGCAAGTTACTATAAAAAATAGAAAAAAAAAATCTAAAAAAACTTTTGATGCAAAAATTATATATGCAATGAAATCAGACTATATCATAAAAAACAAAAAACCTTGTTTTCGCATTTCACCAACAAATCCAATAACTCTTGTGTATTAACTACAGATTCTCTAAAATATGTCATTAAACCAATTAATGCAGTATTCCATTTATTTACAATTTTAGTAAAAGTTGTAGAACCAGATGCCATCAAGATCTGCCTTACACGATTATGAAATTTGTTCATATAATCATCGTCAACACGAAGGAAACATTGTGCTGTTCGTTCTTTTGTAACCTTTACACACAAAAAAAGAAGTGTATCAAAACGGAAAATTAAATTCTTATTATGAAAAATAGTAGTGACGAAATAAAGGTTTCTAATTTTTTTATTGTTTAAAAGTTAACTTATTTTCCTTACTCCGCTATATCAAAAAAATTGTCATATATTAACATAATGGTACACATGTATATATCATATTACCATAATAGTATATGTTTGTTAATTCTTTAAAAAGAAGTCATTGAATTATAAATAAAATTAAAAACATTCAATTAATTTAAAATTAAAATCAAAATGACAATAATGAAATGCTTATTTTCTAAAACAAAATTATTTTACTAATATGTAAAATTAAAATATAAAAAATATAAAAATATTTATTAAAATATAATAAATTACTTCATTTTGTAAGTTCCAAACTCCATCACGATGAGTAAACTCTTCACTAGTCATTCGAACCTTTGGAAGTAATCGGCACTCAAAACCACACATATTAAATAGTAAGTTTGGGTTATCTTTACTATATACCGAAACAAAACTTTCCTCCCATTTTAATGTTGAAACAGATCGTGGAAGTCGATTTTTGATGTCCCAGAATACAGCTCTACCCAGATTCACATCATGTTTCATGAGACGCATCCTAGCATCACGAGGCCAACACTTTTTATTATTGTATCCAACAATATTTTCATTATTTGGATCAGGGTGTTCAGTTAGGTATCGTTGAATAAGATCTCTAGCATCTTCTGCCGAAAATCTATATAAACATTAACAATAAATATGTTCATAAATAATTTGGAAAAAATCAGAAGCATTTTTACTTAACTATAAATAACTTAATTAACAATAAATAAAACTTTGGTTAAAAATTTACTACCTAAAAAATATATGAATCCTATCGACATATCTCGAATACAATCGAATAGGATGAGCTGATTCAATATCTGTACTTTGAAAAGTTAAAAAATCATTTGGCATTTGTGGTGGGCCTGCCATTTCACTAGCTCTACGAAGACCTAACACAAGAAGGTCCATTACAAGCCCATAATACTGCACAATGAATGAAGCAAATTGTAGACCTCTGATGATTCCATATGAGTTTGTATGATTCATATCCTGTAATTAACTATGTTTTAATTACAAAATTTTAAACAAAAACAACAATAAAAACTTATAAACAACATTTAAAACCACAAATTAAAATAAAAAAATTAATTTACCTTGTAATTAATAACAATATTATTCTTGGCAGTCATGTAATCTGCAATATTATGATCAACAATCAACCTGAGCAATCTGTTAAGTAATGTTAAATCTATTTTTTCATATATTTTGTCGAACTTTGATTCCATCATAACATTACATTCTCCCTCTCCAGTTTCCCAAACATCTTGTAAATTATTGATACCTAATATAAATTATTGATACCCAATATAAATTATTGATACCTAATATAAATTATTGATACCTAATTTAAATTATTGATACCTAATATAAATTATTGATACCTAATTTAAATTATTGATACCTAATATAAATTATTGATACCTAATATAAATTATTGATACCTAATATAAATTATTGGTACCTAATACAAATTATTGATACCTAATATAAATTTTCTTTATTAATTTTTAGAGTAAGTGCAAAAAAATAAAAACTAAAAAAGTTAAAAAAATTAAGCAAAGTTTTTCTTTTATATAAGGAAATATTCTTATTCCTCTATATAAATAACGACAGATTATTAAACAAATATTTATTGCTTCAAGAGATACACAAAATGTTGTTGTTTTTTTAGTTAAAGATCAACTTAAAATTGACATTGAAATTAAGGAAGAAAAAAAAAGAAAAAGAAAAAAAAATTATATATTATTACTATCAAATCAAAAATAAAAAGAGTTTTTTTTTTAATCTTTTTTTTAACTTTTTTTTTTGTCTAATAATTTAATTTTAATCTAATTAATTTAATTAACTTTAATCTAATTATTTTAATTAATTTTAATTTAAATAAATTAACCTATTATTGTAAGTAAAAAATAGCCTGCCAAAAATTGATAAAACTAATGTAAAAACAAGTTGAACACAGTACTACCAGAGAAGTGGTGAGAATTGAACTCAGAACTCCTTGTGTATGAAGCAAGCACTACACTACCATATATGTAATCAAATATAATAAACATTTAGATTTTACTTATATTTAAATCATTTAAAATTTGTTTAAATGCATTTTAAATCATGTTTAAATCACAGCTACTTAAATTTGAAAATGAAATTTCATGATTTTCATAAATTTTCAAACAATTAGTGATACTATTAAGGTTAAATATCCAGTGCTCCTTATGTGCTTAGCCCTTGCAACTTAGTCATGAGAAAACGTCAAAAGTAAAGCTTGAAAAAAACTTAGAAATTTGTCTTAGAAATGTAAAACTCTAAGACACCTGTGAAGACCGAGTAATGAAAACGTAGTAAGTAACGAAAAAAGATGACCAAGTAATGAAAACGTAGTAAGTAACGAAAAAAGATGACCAAGTAACAAAAACGTGAAGACCAAGTAATGACACAACAAAAGCACACGAATAAGAAATTCTATTGTGAATTTTAAGAAAAAAAATGATAAACTATAATTTATACTGCAGTAATCTCTTTTCTAAAAAGGTCTTAGACATACTAGTACTCTTCTTTGCAAATATCTTTAAAAATATTTTAAAGAAAGAAAAAAAATCGTTTAAAAAAGTTCCATAAATTTTCCCTAACTTCCAATAAAAGTTTAGGAATTTCATGACATTTTCCATTATTAAATCCCGTGACATTTCCATGAACAGTGGCTGCTATAGATATGCCATACAAAAAATTTTAAAATATATTTTTTCAGCACAGTATCAAAATATCATTTTGATCAAATTTTAAACTACCCTTATAACCACTCTCCAAAAAATTTTGTTACAAAAGTTAATGTAATTTACAATTACATCACACAAATTTAAATGCTATATAATATATTAAATTATTTATAGAATTTGTTATACCAATTATTCTTTGCTAATGAATTTTAATAAAATTTAGTAAACTATAAAGAATTTTTTATATAAAATTTATAAAAATTATAATTTATTTATATTTATTTGTTTTAACCTTGGCACCATTTGTAAACAAGTAGTGGAGGAGGCTCTGTATCCGCAGGTTTAATCCAAGGAGGAAACAAGCGCCTTTTATCTGCTTCATACCATAAATATTGATCTAGATATGCATCTGTTATTTTTTCTAGTGGCTCTACATCATAAACAGGTACTAAATGACTATATAAATCCATAAACTCTATGCCAACCTTTAAAAGATTTACAAAAAAAAATATTTAGCAAGACATTAAAAAAGAAATGACTGAAAAAAAAACTCAAACAATATTTTTATAATTAAATAAAACAATATTTGTAAACATTAAAATAATTTTATTATTTTAGTTTTACAATTGGGTGAAAATGTCTGAAACTATTTTATAATTTTTTTAAACTGCAATGCATAAAGAACACTGCCAGAGGTTAGGTTAAAAAAAATATCCTGAAAGCAAGTAACAAGAAACATTTGAATAAAAAAAGTAATGTATGTTCAAAAGTGATGGTAAAATTCATTGTTTGAATTAAACCATGTCTGTTAAAAAATTACTATAGGTAGTAAAACAAGTAACGAGATTGCAATCAATCCAGTAAAATGTACTACCAAGTTCCAGATAATTGTTTAATAAAAGCATAGAAGCTAAAACACAAATACAAATAGCAATTTTGACTTTATCAACATTACTATATGAATAATTTAAGAAGTGTGGTTCAAATAAAGTAAAAATCAACCTGCCAAAAACCTTAATTGAATTAATTACTTCAAAACTATTTTTAAAAAAATGGTATTTAATGAAGCAATAGAAAAAAAGGACAGAAAATCTTGAACTTATTTTAAGGCAATAAAATATTAGTAAAAGCTGAATCCTGTTTTAAACCTTTTACTATATAAAAATGTGTAATATATCAGTGTGGCATTTATACAGAACTTATTCAATGATTGCAAGTGATTGTGGGACTGATATGCAGACAAATTCTTTACTAAACCAACAAATCTCTTAATAACACAAGTCATTATGAAATTGATGAGATAAAATGAATACTGTAACATGCAAAACCCTACACTAATGTGAAAAGTGAATAACACTTTTGTTATCTGTTTACAGCATTTGCAATCAATTTCTAGCAGGTTAGACCAGTGAGCAATATCTAATTCTAAGTTCCTACCTTCTTAATATTATATATATATATATCTAGTGAATTTTATCAGTAATTTTAATACACATATCTAAATAGGTGAAGATATATACGCATAACACCTCAAAAAAATAAAAGGCAATCTTTAAGAATTTGAATCAGCAGCAATAATTACATAGTAATAGAAATATAAAATGCACAAAAACATTGTTTATAACTTTGTGTTACCTTTGTTATAAACTGTTGAGACTTTTATGTAAATAAATATATATTTCATTTATAACTTTTTTATTATTAGGTTAGAGAATACAACAAAATAAGAAATTAAGATGTTAAAACATGCAAATACCAGAGTAACATTTTTCAACCACTAGTTGAAACTTACTTGGGTGAAAATGTTTTAAATTTTTTATGGTGACTTAAAATTATACATTTTTAAACTTAGCAATGCATAAGGAACATCACCAAAGTGCTAGATTAGCAATAATATATTTTGAATCCTATTAACAAAAATGATTGAGTAATAAATGAGTAAAAAGTTTAGGGTGCCAGTTTTAGCTGCAAAATCCGCTAAATCCAGAAACGAGGAAGGTAATGTTGGTGCATTCAGATAGCGAAACTTCATCAAATATTTTTGGTTAATTTTAAGTTATAAAATACCCAATTAAAAAAAAAAAAAAAAAAACCGTATGTGACTAACACTCTTGCTTAAGATATACATACAGAAAAGTAATTTCAGTGATATATACATCTATATATTATATATACTATAGCATATATAGATAACAATTTGTTAATGGTTTTTCCTAACTTAATAGCATACGACATTTTCAGAAAAAGAAGATAAAAACAAACTTTCAGTGACATCAGAGGTGTTATCTAAACTAGCATTCATATGCACAACCCATAGGAAAAACGAGGTCGGCAATAATTTGCCAACCTCAATCTTTTTGAGGTCGACATCAGATCGCCAAAAATTATTTAATACAAAGGTCTGACAATAAAACATAGAAACGAGGTTGGCAATTTTTTGTCAACCTTTAACACTTTCAGGTCGGCAGTTATGTCGACATTGCCTAATAGCAACCCTAATTACAAGGGTTGTGCATATGAATATGTATATGTATATATATATATATATATATATATATATATATATATATATATATATATATATATATATATATAAATATATGTATATATATATATATATATATATATATATATATATATATATATATATATATATATATATATATATATATATATTTATACACACACACATGCATACATATATATGGTATTTTAATTATTTTTTAATTATTTTTTAAAATTTTAGGCACTCTTGTCTTTTCATTGGGAGATTTAATCTTAAAAAACAAGTCTTATAAGCTTTTGTAATATTCAAGTGCCCAGGGTTATTAAACATCTATAATTTTAGGCCTAAAATCTTGCAAATCCCTTAAAATGTTTTTGTACTGCATTAAAAGTTATTATTAACAATATTTTTAACAAATTGGTATAGCAAATGGCTATAATTTATCGTTTTTAGGAAATATCTCATGAAGTCTGCCACTGCCTTCACTAAAAAATTGGGTAGTATGTAAAATTGGGGTAGTAGGTAGAATCTATTATCTCAAAAGAAAGGATAACAACAGTATGGATTCACCGTGAATGTTGCTCTGCCATCAACAGTATGGATTCACCGTGAATGTTGCTCTGCCATACTTCAACAGTAAGACAGGGCAAAAAATATAGGGGAAAATTGTTTTCTAAATGATAAAGAAAATATCATTTTTTATTAAGTGTTTTTAAATGTGATGTTAACATCTAGAGCTAATAGAAATAACATCTAACAAATAGAAATAACAAATCTAAAATTATAACAAAATAAATACAAAAGAAATTTAGTGTAAAAACATGCAAATACCAGAATAAAATTTTTAACCACTAGTTGAAATTTAACTGGGTGAAAATGTTTCAAATTATTTATGGCGATTTAAAATTATACATTTTCAAACTTAGCAATGTATAAGGAACATCACCAAAGTATCAAGATAACAGTAATATATTGTAAAATTTTGTAACAAGAAGCGATAAAAAAGGTGCTGTATGTTTAAAAGTGATGGAAAAATTCATTTTTTGAGTTAAACCATGTCTGTTAAACTATTTCTATAGGTAGAAAAACATGTAACAAGATTGCAATCAATCCAGTAACATTTACTACCACTTTCTTATATTATTGAATTTATGAAAGATATACTTTATAACCAAAGATATACTTTATAACAAAGATATACTTTATAACAAAGATATACTTTATAACCACTTTCCAGATTGATATTTAATAAAATTTTATTTGTAAAACCAATTTGGTTGAATTTTTTTTTTAATTTAAAGGGATCCCTAACTGCCGAGACAAGTTGCGTTCATATTTAAAAAAATGTTTAAAAAAAGCATTTGGGCTAAATTTTTTTGATTGAAACTTAATAATAAATGCATACCAACCAAATTAAAATTATAATTTTAGAGGAAGCTTGCCTTCTCCATTTTTTTTTGGTTCTCAGAGTCTGTATAATGTTAGCCGCAATCTGCAGACATGATAATTTATTCCATGCATGTTTAATTAATAACAGTTTCGATATATGACATCATCGCAATATCTTTTTAAGATAACTTTTTTTTTTTAAGATTTAAGTATTTTTCTACTACAATCAGAAAATAAAATATTTGTATAATTTTTTACTAAATCACAAAAAATATTTGTGATTTAGTAAAAAATTATATAAAATATATATATATATATATATATATATATATATATATATATATATATATATATATATATATATATATATATGTATGTATGTATGTATGTATGTATGTATGTATGTATGTATGTATGTATGTATGTATGTATGTATGTATATATATATATATATGTGTGTGTGTGTATATATATATATAATTTTTTTTTTTACTTGCTTTATTATTACTTTGTTTTAGAAGCCAACCAAAATCATGACACAATTATACATATTTTGTGATTATAAGAGTTCGCAGGCAGAGAAAAAATAAAGGCAGTATGATGCGGTTTCTCATTTTATATTTAGTTCATATGGTTTAATAGTTGTTCACTTTGTGCTTAATTTACATTTAGTTATGGTTTAACTCTTTCACTTCCGCAAGCCTCTGCTAGCGGCTTTCGAGAATGCTTTTCTACTTATCTTGTTTTATACATTTATTTCCATTCTAGACACATAGAATTTGTTTGTTCTAAAGGTTTAATTATTTCTCTACATAATCAAGAAAAAATAAGAGCTATATTGTGTGATTATAAAAAAGTTATCACTAAGTTAAAAATTTTTGAATAATCCCTTTTTAAAAAAAAACTTTAAATTTAGTTATAAAATTATACAGTGTTAACACTTTAAAACTTAACTTGTTGAAGTGTAAAGTATTTAGTTAAGTAAATATATACCTAAGTATTTTGAAGAAAAAATATTCTTTTTATTCATTAAATAAGGTTTGTATCGGACTTAATGTTTTAGTTACTACTTATAAAAACAATGGTTTTAAGCACTTTGCATTTCTTATTGTTTAATGACGCGTGTTGAAAACTATATTATTATTGAATTTTAATTAATTGTCAATGTTATGCTATTCAAATTTTATTCAAAAAAATGTGCGGTTGCTACAAAAAATTTTTTGTTTGGCTGTTAGCAAACAAGTTAATGCGATTCTTCGGTTTTATATTTATAACTATTTTTTGTATATTTTAGTACAAATATTTGTTTTAACTTTAATTTAGTTTGATTTTGACAGTTATTAAAAAAATAATTCGTTTAATATTTATTTTCTACTAAGTTCAGTTTATATGTTATATTCAAGTCACTTATTTTTTATTCAGTTTATACTTTAAATTAGTTTATATGCTTTAGTAAAATTATTCTTCTAGCATCTAGTTTATATTTAGTTTAAACCAGTACATTTTATTGTAAATATTTGTTATATATTAAATTTTTATTTTTATAAACTTTATAAAAAAATTAATTTTTAATTGTATCATAAACTTTTTTTTGGGATTTAGTTAAGAGTTTACAATTAACATGATTTGATGATTGTAGCAAAAAAATAATACGATATCTTGAAAGAAAAAATTTAAGCAATTACTTCATACACTGAAACTGTTATTAATTAAACATGCATGGAATAAATTATCAAGTCTGCAGATTGTGGCTGACACTATACAGACTCCAAAAACCAAAAAAAAAAAATGGAGATGACGAGCTTTGACTAAAAAGTGAATTTTAAAATTAATGATGTGCATTCATTATTTAGTTTTAATCAAAAAATTAAGCTCAAATGTTTTTTTAAACATTTTCTTTAATATGAACACAACTTGTCTCAGCAGTTGGGGATCCTTTTAAGTATATGTACAAGTAAAGTTTTAATTAATTGGCCAGTTTTTGCCTTATAAGTACCAACCACTTTTTTTTGTTTGTTTTCTGTTATTGAGGAAGGCAAGTTAAAAATTTGAATTGCATAACATATGCATTTGACATTATCAAGCCTTCACAGGAAGCATGTTGTTGATGACTTGCTTTACTTTTTTTTAAATGTTTAATTTGAATATATACAAGAAGGCTACAGAAGATTATATACAAATATATAAGAAGATTATATACAAATCTTTAGTTCAAGTTGTAGAGAAAGCTTTTCCTAATATTGCAGCGCTCAAAATAGTTTTATAAAACTTGCTGATCAAATGTAATTTTTTCACAAAAACAGGTTATTTTCCCTTGGATTTTTTGAAATTTCCCTAAAAATAGCCGATCATTGATTGTTGATCGGCCATTTTTTCGAGCATTGATATTATTGCCCTGTCATAAAATTTTAAAAGAAATATAATAAGATTGTGTAATTACAATTACAATACTAAAAGAGGGTCAAAGAGTTTCAAAACCATACAAAACCTTTTGAATATTTTTTTGAGTGTAAAAAGATTAGGCAGACCTTGACTTATTTCAAAAAATGTAACTCATTATTTAAATAACACCTTTTTAAAAAATTGATTCCTCAAAAAACTTCAAGTTTATTAAATAATAAATAATGTAATGCAAATATGTAAATTAAAAAAAAATTGTTTCTTCTTGTACATTTTAATAAAAAATAAATAATTTAAAAAGTTATTATAAGAGCTAAGTTGTAAAAAAAGTTTTATTTTATTACATTCTAATAAAATAAAACTATTACCTTAAAGTGCTTACTCTTAACATTTAAACTGTTTTTAAAATTTTGTAAAAAAAAAAAAAAAAGTTAAAACTTAACAACTAAGAAATGTTACCCAAGGGGCAAATTAACTCAAATTTACCAAATCACAAAATAGCAAAGTTCTTTCATAAGACTTGCACAACTATTGTTTTAAATACTAATTGTATAAAACAGATGTTAATCTAGGTATCAAATTGAGGTTAAAAATACTTATTATTTTGTCAAAATAAAAAAATAATAATAAAAAGAAAAAAGGTAAATAATAGTTCATTACTGCTTTAATCAATTTCAAGCGTATACAAATGAACCTTAAAGAAAATCATTCTTTGGTGATACTTACAGTCCAAAGAGTTAATTTTAAATCATAAAGTGTTGATTTAAAAATTAGCTTTACCTGACCTGATGGACAAATAACCAAAGTAAAAAATTGACCAGGTAATAAATGACAGTTATTTTGTGTTAACATCATCGTATAACACGATGAAACCTTTTTTCATGAATAAGTTCACCCAGAAATATAAAAATTAGCAAAGGCTATTGCTTTAAATTATATACTTTTAAGATCGCTAAAAGGCTTTGGCCCATTGACAATTCATGATGCTCTGTCTCATGATACAATATTATTTATTAAATAATCCTTTAAATCAAAAATTATATTTAATAAAAAATACAGCGACCTATGCGAAATTAGTGAATTTCATCATCAAATGCAAAAAAAAAAAAACTATATATACAGTATCTGTTTTATTAAAAGAAAGTACCAAAAAATAACTTGAAGTAAAACAAATTATAAGTTTAACGTAGAAAAGTTTGAACAACAAATAATTAGTTGTTAATAATTAAAGTATTATCAATGTTTAGTTAGAAACTGTTGGTGAAAATTTTATTCAAAATGCCTTTAAAAAACTGAAAAAACTTGAATCTGTTTCATTATATTTATATGCATGGGATCACTTATTTGTACAAATTAGTGTACAAAATTGTAAAAAAATTAAAACAATTAAAATTTTCTTTAATAAATATTTAAAAATTATAAATAATATTATAAATATTTAAAAAGCTTAACTATTTAAAACAAAAATATAAATCTAAAAGAAGACAATCTACATAAAATATAAATTTGGTTAATATCCTTGTAGTTAATTCTGTCGCTTGTTAATAGAATTAAAAAAAAAAAACATTTATTTTGCAGATTGTTTTCTTAATATAATTAACTCTAATAAGTAAAAATAAGTAAAAGTTATATTGGGAGTTTTGCTAAAATTATTTTTTATAATTTATAACTTTACTTTTTTGAACGCTAACTTATATAACACAATTATAACTTCCTCTATTTAAACAAGAGCTTAGAAAATAAATGATATGATTATAAAAAAAAGTATTGGCTTTTACAGTAAATTTGCATCTACATTATTATTATTAAAAAAACTTTTGATATAACTCTACAAAGGGTTTTATTATTATTATTATTGATTAATCTTTTTATTAGTAAAAAAAAAAAAAAATTAAATATTTTGGATTTATCAAGTGAATATCATATTTATTAGATATGAATTTGTTTAAACAATGTTTAAGACCTAATAATTTTAATCACTATTACTTTGTTTAAACAATTTGTCTAATTGGCATTTGGAACAAACATTAAACTTTGATCAAAATAATTGGCCTTTGTTTGAAATATTCAACCTAGTAACAACCCTCTACATTATTATAAGAAATGTTTCTTTAAGTTTAAAAATCTTTGTTCAAGTTCTATACATTTGATTGGTTACCAATGTATACTATGCATGATTATAACCAATCAAAAAGACATACAAATTTATAATCTAAAAATCACTATATCATGGAGGATGAAATAATTTATTTATATACAATTAAATTTAAAATAAAAAAACTGTAAGTTTAAAAGTGATGGAAAAATTCATTTTTTGAATTAAACCATGTCTGTTAAAAAATTACTATAGGTAGAAATACAAGTAACAAGATCACTTTTAATCCTGCAAAATGCACTACCATGTTTGAGATGTTTAACTATGTTGTACATGCATGAAATAACTATGAATATAACTAAATAATTATAACTATTTATTGTATAACTGAATACTTAAATAAAAAAACATTTTTTTTTTTTTAAAAGCAATTTAGTGCCCTTTTGAGAATTTTTTTAAAAGCAATTTAATGCCCTTTTGAGAATCATATTGTACAATGTTTTATATTTAAAATTTACATAACTAATTTTTTCAAACCAAAACAGTAGATTTTTTCAAAACAAACAGTAAAATTTAGACTATAGCTCTTTATTAAATTATTCTTTTTTATATAAACTTAACTGTAAAAATTTACCTTTCATTGTTTCATTTGTAGCTTAATCAATTATTTTTTTTAATTATTTTTCATTTATAATTTAATTTTATTATAATGAATAAAAAAAGAAAAGAAATAAGTGCAACTTAATAACCGCAATTTATAAAATTCAAAAAAATTAAAGCAACTAAATTATTACTAAAATATATATATATATATAAACATACTTCTTTGAAGGCTCGCTGAGTTAGCAAATGACGCTTTATTCTTGAAAGAGCTTCATGAGGATTATCATAAGCTTGCTCTATAAGACCCAGCTCTTCTCTTTGTGATTGATTAAGACGACTTTTAACGCTGAAAAACAAAGGAAAAATCATATTAAAACAAATAACTTGTAAATACGCAACAATGATTTTAATTTTAACCCTGTGAACTGCAAAAAGCAAATTGTGTTGCATTGAAAATAGTTTTTAATAGCTTAAAAAGCTTTAAAGGTAAAATACAAGCTTTGTGCATTTTTTTCTACAATTTGGTAAATTACAAATGTTTTGTTGCAACAAAGAGTAATAGTATAGATGATTTCTTTAAAAAAGACAGCTTGACAAAAAAAGAATGCTTAACTAGTGAAAATGGAATCTTTATTTGCAAAAATATAATTTTATTTAAAAGTTAATTTACAGGGGCTATTCCAGAAAAATAATTTGGGTGATGGTTCCCCTCGCACCATATGGAAATTTGCCGAATGTAGGCATTTATTTGCCAAGAAAACAAACAATATTTGACGTAAAAAAAAAAAAAAAAAAAAGGTTGTTAGTTTCCGAATTTGGGCATCACCCAAATACGGTTGGTGTTGTCGAAAACAGTCTAGAATAGCCCCTGATTAAGTTCAATTTAGTGTGTATATGTTTTCCTAGACTTGGTTACTGATGATAGTGAGAATGTCTTAGTTTTGTAACCAATGTTAAAAAGACTTGAAAAAATAACTTTTTTAGTAAGTAATTTTAGACAGCATTTAATTTTACACAGCATTAAAAAAGTTAAAAGAACACAACATTTAGAAACATATTTTCAAAAATTTGAATATATATATATATATATATATATATATATATATATATATATATATATATATATATATATATATATATATATATATATATATATATATATATATATATATATATATATATTACAGAGATATGAGTAATTAAATAGGAAAGTTACCTATAAGCTTCTTTTAATCTTTCTAATGCTAATATTAGCAATTTTGTGTCATGCTTGTATGATAATGGTGGAAAAGGAACAGGTGAAAACCTTCTACTTTCTAACCAATGTACAGTTGTTGTATAGATAGCAACTGCTTCTTCAGCAGAAATATAAGGTCCATCTTTTAAATAATTGTGTTGTCTTTCCTGTTCAGCTAAATAAATTACAATTTATTAAATATAAATCATAGTTTATTAAAATTAAATAAAATACTTTAATTTAAAAATGATTAAATAAATACCTTTTAAGTAAAGTCTAGTTAATCTACCAAGATTTTTTTTACAAACAGTTTTATCAACAGTTGCACCACGACGAATACGCTCTCTGTTATAATGAGCAACATTAGTCCACCAATCAGCTTTTGCTTTCACATAGCGTAAAATCATATTTTCAACTGGGATAGGTAGCCCAGGTACCTAAAAATAATTAATGTTAAAACTAAACAAGTGAAATATAATTTATTATTCAAGACATTTTATCCAAATAAGTAAATATATATATCAGGCTTGGTTGGGAAGCGGGAGCGATCACTCTCGAATACTGACCACGGAAATTATATTTTATTGCGAAAAACTGGCAAGGTATTTTAGTCGTTTTGAGAACATTTAAGTTTATGTACAAAACAAAAAATTTTTGTTTTACGGACATACATGGAAACATAAAAAACTTGAATGTTCTCAAAACATCTTTGTGCGAAAGAATAAAAAGAATATTCACGAACACTAAAAACCTGCCAAATTAACGAACAAACTAATTCTTTGGTTCAAAAAAAACGTTGACTAAGTGAAATAAAGTTCTAGAGTATTCTGTTAAAATATTTTAAATTATTCATGATTTGTTACGTTTTGAGATTTCTAGCATTGTTTTAAGAATATATTATTTGTTTACGAAAATAAATGTTTTAAATATATTAGTATATTCTTATTTTTTATTTTAAAAGAGATTGTTTTTTTATGTAAATGTAATTTTGTGTATTTGTTTTTTATCATGATGTATCTTTTAAAGCAATTTTTATGATTTAAACAAAGACTTACAAAAATAATTGCGTTTTCAATGAAACTACAATCGTTAAAGTTAATAAAACTTATTATGTAACAAACATATAAGAAGTTTCTGGTTACTAAACACAAACAACGCATACAGAGTAACTTGCGGATGAACAAGCACCGCGCCTGAGGTGCTAGTTCATCCACGAACACAACTATATATAGCAAATAATTAGATATAAAGAAAAGTTTCTAGATATTGGTTTACTAACTCTAATTATTTTCGCTTAAGTTGCCATTCTTAAAACTCGTTATACTTTTGTCTGCTTTAAATACTAATTAAAATTAAAAAACTTACTCACTAAACATCATCAGCGATATTGTGAAGCAGTTTCGCTTCCTCGTCATAAAGTATTTTTAACCTTTTTAGTTGATTTCTATCTTGATAATTTAATTTCTATAGTAATTCAATGATTTAATTATTTCATTTGTTTATCTTACTAAGAAGAATTGTTTCAAATATGTTAAACTTTTCAAACTAAGCGAAACATAAAATAGGTATTAAAAAAATTAACTTTTTTATTTATAAAACAATTTAGCTTAAATAAAACTAAAACTTGCAAACTTTGTTAAATAAAAAATATTTGTTTCCCTTTAAACAATCGTAAGTTGTTACTTTATATAAAAAAACATCGCTTAATTTTATAAAAAAAATTTATAAAAGAGCGATGTTTAGAAAATATTTGTTCTTAATGTAATTTATTTAGCTTTAAGTTTTTTCGCGTTTAAAGATATTTTATTTGCCTAATTATTTTTTTTTTGTCTCTCATCGGTCCAATTAATCTGTCGCTTTTTAAAATGTTCTCAAAACGACTAAAAAATCTGGCCAGCTTATCGCAACTAAATATTATTTATGTGGTCAGCAATCAAAAGCGATCACTCCCGCTTCCCGACCAAGCCTGATATATATATATATATATATATATATAAATTATTAAAAAAATTTTATTGAATAATAAAAGAATAGAAGGAAACCTTCCATGGAATATTTGCTTTCCAACATCTCCAAGCCTCACTTAAATGCTGGAGTATTGTTCGAGCTTTATTTTGTTTGATGCCTTCAGGCATCATATCAAGTATGTCATGCATAACAGCTGCTCTTAACTCTAAGTCATAATGACTTTCAACCCTTTGTTTAGTAACAGTTTTTGCAACACCTTTTGAATGGCGACCTTCAAATTGACGTGCTAATAAATTGCCAAGCCACCTTTCTAACAAAGGAACAACTCCTCTTAAAAAGAAAAGCCAGACTCTCCATCCAGGTGCCCAAATACCACACCCAGGCCCTTTGCCTACTGCACCCTAAAATATTATGCTTTAAATATAGATAATTCAGCTTAAATACAATATTAAAAAAAATATACAAAAAGGAAATTTTAGGTTAAAAAATATATATATACACAAAAAACAACTTCTTACTGTGTTGAAACGATAGTATATAAGATGTTTAAGGTCTTTACACATTCTTATCTGTTTCATGAGTTTATATTTGTACCGATACATTCCAGTTAATTGACCAACATGGGCAAATATATACTGTATACCATCGGCAAGCTAAAAATTGAAAATAATGATACTATTAGACTCTAAAAATCATTGGCTTTTTTACCAAATAAAATTGAAAAAAAAATGTCTGCATTGTAAAAAGTTAATAAAAATGTTTTTTTACTGTATTCACCACTTAAATGTTGAAGGGACCACTACAGTGACCACAAGCAGGCCAGAACACAGACCACAAGCAGGCCAGAAGTCAACCTGAGAATATTCTTTTTTAAGGATCCTTTTTTAAATTATTGTTACAAACATTTTTTCTTTAAACATTGTTACAAGCTTTTATTTTTCCTATTGCTCCTAAACAGGAACCTTAAAGACAAGGCATCTGCATAAAAAAAACAAATTGATAAAATGTATAACTTGTAGTGCTCCTAAACAGGAACCTTTGCTTAAGTCTTATTATAATTTTTTTTTTTTTTTTTAATTTTTATTTCTATGAAGTTGAGAGAAGGTTGTAACCACTACTAAAGTAGCCTCCTCGACTGTAGTGGCCTTTTGCTAAATTTACAGCATTGGGTGGGGTGGGTGGGGGGGAATTAACATTAAAAAAAAAGAAGAAAAAAATTATGAAATTAAAACACTAAAATTATTTAAATTTTGTTAAATTTACATAACAAAAAAAAAAAAAAAATTAAAACAAGCACAAGTTTTCAATTATTTTTAAAAAAACCTCTTTAATTTTTTAAACTTTTGTTTTAGGTGCCCCCATAAGACCTTATGGTCTTGTCACAGAGCACTGCAGAAAAGCATATAAATAGGAAGTCCATGCCTCCTTCCATACCAACAGCGCTAAATATGTACAAAGCTTGGATCTTTTGCTTAAAAAGCAAGCGCTCTAACCACGGCGCCACAACCGCACTACTTGCATTTACCACTGTACATGGTCAAACATTAAAAACAAATACCAAAAACTTAGTTATACATGTATGCATAGTTGTGGCTAGGCTCGCCCACACCTTCCAATAAGGGGGTGGGCCATAGGGAATTTAGGGGATTTTTCAGCAAATTGATCCTAAGAGCCTTGGCACTGCAAGTATTTATGCATAAATGAACATTCAATGTTATCTAAATATCCTTGAGGTCGCGATCGCGTCACAAAACAAGCTACCATCTTTGTAGGGGGAAAACATTGAACAATACGCGTAACTAGCGCATTTTGTTCATTGTTTTAAATTTAAGGCATAAAAAAAACGCACTAATAACGCGCTTTGCTCAATGTTTTCCCCCTACAGAGATGGTAGCTCGTTTTGTGATGCAATCACGACCTCAAGGATATTATAAAAAAAAGTAAAAAAAAAAAAAAAAGAAGCCAATACCTGAAAAGCATCAACATTCCCAAGTCGATATTGTACATGTGAATCCACAACAAGCTTTGACAGTCGCAGTATTTCTCTACATAAATGGAATGCATTACCAAATCTAGACTTTTTACGCTCTTTTGTTGTAAGAGTTTTAACAGGTTTCAAATTAAAATTGTAATCCAAATGTAAGTAGTTTAAATTTTTTCTGTGAATTAGTAAATTTAACATATTGTAACCTTGACGACAAACTTGTAAACTTGCTTCTACCCAATCTAGCTTAGTGGTCTGAAAAAACTTGGTTGATTTAAATGATCGAAATAAAAAGCGTTTTTTCATAGCTTTAGGTGGACGATGATGAAGTGCATTAAGAACAAAATACTTAAGCAGTTTCTGGTAAGATACTCGGACTTTTACAGGATGAGAAGAAGGACAATGTTCCATGTACCTATACATTTTTTTAAAAATATTTAAATTTCATCAGTATTGGTCAGGAAGGCGTGCAACCACATGCCATTATATGACCACGCAAATAATATTTTATTTTGACAATTTAACCCTTGCTTTTAAAATTTCAAAAACTTTTAAACAAAACTTTAAAATTTCAATTCAAACATTTTAAAATTTCAATATAAACAAAATTTTAAAATTTCAAAAACTTTTAAGCAAAAACTTTTAAAATTTCAAAAACTTTTATCTTTACGGATGTTTTTATAACTGTTTTTAACAAAACACACAAAAAAAAAATTAATTAACAAAGTATCAATGAAAAAGTGCATTGATTATTAATTTATTTTTTTTTAATTTATTTCAATTTTATAAACAACAAATATTTTAGATAGTGACAGTCACTTTAATGGACTTAATAGAAGAAGAATTAAAGTTTATACAATAAAAAAGATATTGCTGAAAAAACGCTGAAAGCGTTTTGAAAGCCGTTACACTTAATTAACTTTGATCTCTTTGAAAAAACCAATTTTATTATAATTATGTTTTTATTTTTAACGTAATTAAAAACTTGATTTAAATTATCTCAACAATTTAGTTTTTTGAGTTTTATTTTAGTTAAGTTTATTATACTTATATTTATTGTAAAATAGTTTTTTTATTTTTTAAATTTGCTATATTTAGCTTTTTTTTAGTTTCATTCATTTTCTTTTTCAATAAGATATCTTTTATTTCCTTAAATTAAAATTTTTTTTAAAGTTTTTTCTTTTTGAGTAAAATCTAGGTAAGGTTTTTAGCGCATTTTTGAAATATTCAAATTTTTAAAACATGTTAAAAGCCATGGTCAAATCATCAAAACAAAATTAAAAACAAAAATAACTTTTAACATAAAAATAAACTTCAGTATTATGTAAAAAAAATTATTACTTTTCTATAAAAGTTATGTATTTTGCATTTATTATTATTTATAATTATTTGTTTTATATGCTATTTTCATTTTAGGGTTAGTCATTATCATAAATAACTTGTTTTGTAACAAAATGAGTTATTAATTATAAACAAATTTTAAACCAAAAAATCTAAGTAACAGTTAAATTAACAATACAAAATCTTTACCATGTTTTTACAAGAGGAATATCTATTGCTCGCCTAGTTGTGCCAGAACGAATGTTAAAAGGCCGAGGGGCCCAAAGTAACCCAATACCTTAATGAAAAAAATACAATAAAAATCAATTGCAGTTTGCTTGTATAATAATGTGAGGTAAAATCAAGTTATTACCATTTGCTGTGTTATCAGTATACAATGGAGAATCTTGTAAGAATGGCTGATATTCCTCAGGTAGTTCAAATTCTTCATCTTCTTCAATAACAGGTTCTGTTACCTATAGTATATTAGTAAACATGTTGCAATTTCATTTTATTTTAAGTACATTATTTTTTATTATTATTTTAAAAGGACTACCAAGTCTTAAGACATGTTGTGTTCATATTAAAGAGAATGTTAAAAAAAAAAGTCTGAGCAAATTTTTTTTGATTAAAACTAATTAATAAATGTATACCAAGAAAAACAAATCTTGTTGTTTTATTCGAAGCTGGTCTTCTCCATTTTCTGCAGTATTTGGAGTCAGTAAAACAAACGCCATTTTTCAGGCGCATTATACAGACTTGATAATTTATTCAAGTCCGTTCTAATTCTAATTTTAATTCATAGAAGTTTTAGTACGTGATGTCATAGATTTTTTTGTTTGTTTGTTTAAAACACCGATTATTATTTTTTACATGCTATTTCTAAATCATATTCATTTTTATCATATTTTAAAGTTTTAAAATGTGTTTGTAAAAAAATTAAAAATAAAATAGTATTTTATTTGCGCAAATTTTTTTAAATAATCGTCTAGACGACATGTATTTTTATTTCTTTTGTTATAAGTTTTTCTTTAAAAGTATTAGATAAAATAATTTTTAACGTAAATAATAATGCACTTTTATTAATTTACTTTGTAAATAATAAAAAAAAACTATTAACACAATTTTTCTCTGATTTTCAAAAATGTATTATTTGGTATTAAGGTGATCTTATTTCATTATTTATATTTCCATTATTATAACATCCAATATATATTATGGCGGGGGCTTAAAAATTAAAAAAATAATATATATTAATTTTTATTTTACAAATATACATGGAAACATAACTAACTTGAATGTTCTTAAAACATCTTGCGGAAGAATAAAAAGAATATTTGCAAATATTCTTTTAATTCTTCTATAATATATATATTTTAAATTGTCAAAATTTAATTTTAATTACAGTTAATTACAAATTATATATTTTATTAGTATATCCTTATTTTTTATATCTTTTCCTAGTCTAATAGTATCATTATTTTCAATTTTTAGCTTATACAGCATATATTTGCCCATGTTGGTCAATTAACTGGAATGTACCGGTACAAATATAAATTCTGTTTAATATGAACACAACATGTCTCGGGACTTAGAATTCCTGTTAAGTACATATTTTTTTATTATTTTAAGTAAAATATTTTACAAAATTATTTTATTTTAAGTACAATAACTGGCAATAACTATTTCGAATGAGATTGGTAATGAATATTTGAAAACTGAAAACTATGAAATGAAAACTAAAATGAAAATTAATTATTAAAACAAATCAACAAGCAAAAGATTAAATGCTGATATTTTTTATCTAATAGAAAAGTTGATTCCATTGAAAATATGCTTATTACTTAAAGATAAGTACAATAGTATTAATGTCAAAACATATATTAACTTAATTTTATAAATATTAAATAAACATTTTTGGAACAATGAGCCTACTATAGTTGCAAAAAAAACTTTTTTTTATTTATTGTTTTTTTTTTTTTTTTTTTTTTTTTTCAGATTTTTTAAATTTTTTAAATTTTCTAAATTAAAAAAACTTTTTACATTATTTTGAAATTTATTATTATGTCAACAATTTGCCAAGTTAAAATTATCTTGTTTTATCTCCACTATTTTGAGTTCTGAGATAAAACGATTTAAAAATATAAACTTTAGGAGACAGCATATAAAAACAACTTTTTAATTACCATTTTCTCCACAACTTTTTTACTTATAAATTAGGTTTCAATACGATAAAAAAACATTACCCTGAGTTACATAACCCTAACAATAACTCAATTTTTTTTTAAAGTGGAAATAGAACAAGATAATTCTAAGGTCGCAAATTAATACAAATTTTTAAAAAATTGTCTAAAAAATGATTTTTTAAACAAAAATTTACTGAACGAACATCACTAAACATACAGTCCGTTCAGTAACTCCATTTAGTAATACTGAATAAGGTCTTGTTGACTATAAGTCATAGATTATTCTTTATCTCATATTTGATTTTCATGATCTAATTATGGGGAAAAAAAACAATTTTAATACTCCTTCATTTGATAATAAAAGGTTGGATTTACCCTGGTGGGCCCCTATGTCATGTTGATGTGGAAGACCATTCCCCAAGAGGGTGTGGGGAATGGTCTTCATGAGCTGTGAATTCCAGAATTTTATTTCAAATCAAAATTTCATAAAACTTCTTTTTGAAATAACCAAGTAAAGTTCGCCTTTTAAAAATTTTTTTGTTTGATAAAATTTTGTTCTTGATCATAGTGTCATGTTTGTTTGTTTGGTTTATTTATGATCAACAAAATTTACAAGTTATTGACAGAGAGCGGCCACCAGGCCACTCTGTAATGAAAATACAGCTTTTATATTTCAGATAAAGTTAAGATGCCAAAAGCAAAGAAATATTCTTTAAAAAATCATTAAAAATTTTTTAAAATGTTCAGGTTTTTGAGTCCATCACATTTTGGGTAAAAGCATTCCGTGGTTTGACAACATGATTAGAGAGGGAGTTGTTTTTTTCTGCACAGTTTCGTACAAGTTGTACTTTTAGCTGTTTTGTGTTTCCATGCAGTTAGAAACTGTACTTTAAAGACTCTGTGTTTGGTTGAAGCTGAGGGACTGAGAAGATAACTTTGTTGATCTTGCTGATAATTTTGTATTGCTTAATAAGATCTACTCTTTCTTGTTGTTTGGTTAGCTTTGTTGAATTAATTTGTGATCTTATTTAAATTGTGAGTCTCTAAATAAAAGGCAAGTATTTGAAGTTAACAGTATGTTTTGTGGCTCGGTTTTACTTGTTTGAGTTTGGCTATGTCTTGAGCTGGAAATGGTGGCTTGTACTGCAAAATCTATATGCGTGCAAATGTATGAAGTATAAAGAGTGTGCCATAATGCTGAGCTTCAACCTCAAAAAGCCAAGCATTTGGTTGCCAGCTGATGCAAAAGGTTAAGAAGCTTGTGTTTTTACCTTTAGATTGTTAGTCATAACAACACCTAGGTCTTGTTTAAATGTTGTCATGACAACTGATGCAGCTGGCATGCTAAGTTATTCATAGTGTAAATTGAAGTAAACTTTTTTTTATTGCTGCGCCCATGTGCATCATAAAACACAAGTCAATTTTTTTATCTTTAGTTTTTTGAGACCCTTGATTTTGTCGGGGCCCCTGTATTGTGGCACACCCAGTTTTTGTCTAAACTCGGACCTGTATTTAAAATCAAAATCTATTTTGCATATAATTGTGGATTAAAGATTGTCTAATACGACAATAGTTGTAGAACTATTGTTGTAGTAGTACCGTACTACAAAGCAATAAAATTTAACTAGCAATATTGGATAGTGTTTGAGCATATGAACAACATATTAATATGAATAACAATACAAGGTCAAAAATACCTTTTATAGACTAACAAAATTGAATGTTCAAAACCTACCTTGTGGTTGTCCCTTAATTGTGTCAACAATTTTTTGACAATTTTTACACCCCCTCCCTCTGGCTTGTCAACAATTGGTCAAAATTCCAAAACCCTTATCCCCTCTCTACAATTAAATTACATCAACATTTAATTACTCATCTTCCCCTCCCCCTCTCTAAACTCATTAAGAAAATTAAATTAAAGAAAAAAAACTTTTTTTTTTTTTTAAATTAATTTATTTTATAAAGTTGGCGTTAACTTTTCTCGACTTCCCTCATTCCGCTTGTCAACAATTATCAAAAACTTTTAGACTTCTTTCCCCAATTTTATTGAAATAACTAATAGACATACCTTAACTATGTTTTAAATTTAATACTGTAGTATTATAAAAGAGTAACTTTACAAAACACAATTTTTCTTATATTTTGTTGTATTTTTTTTAGCATTGATGTATAAATAGTTATAGCTAATATATAGGATATAACACATTATACGAAACAAAAAAGCATGAATATTTTAAATTTCATTAGAGATGTAACTGTTTCAAGATTCATTAACATCTAAAATTTAAAGAATACTAAAAAAAAAAAAAAAACCATAAAAAACTTGTTTTTTTGTGTGCAAAAAAAACGCTATGGTTTTTTTTTAAATTTGCAACTCATATTGCTTTATTTACTTTTGATGTCATATAGTTAAATTCAAATATTTGCTTAGCTAATTTTGCATTTAATATTTTGCGCAGACCAGCCTTTTATTACTTGCCATAAATAGCAAACAGATAGAAGCTCTCTAATAAATATTAAAACAAACGCCATATATATATATATATATATATATATATATATATATATATATATATATATATATATATATATATATATATATATATATATATATATATATATATATATATATATATATATATATATATATATATATATATATATATATATATATATATACATACATATATGTGTGTATGTGTGTGTGTGTGCGTGTGTGCTATATTATATAGTTCTTTCAATATTATAGCATTTGAAATGCTCACTTTACCTCAACTTCATACTAACTCGTAATACTACTTATCCAACTTATAATACTACTTAATAGCTTATAAAAATTTGTGTTATATATTTATTTTAACAATATAATTCTTAAAATTACCTTAACAGAATGACGATGTGCAATTGGATTAATCAATGGATCAAAATAAAATGCAGGTAAATCAGGATCTTCTGTTTTAATAAAAACAACAGAAGGTGTATGATACCTAAAAAAAAACTCAAAATGTACTGAAAAAATATCAATAAACAATAAATAAAAAAACCTTATTTTTGTTTATTTAATTAATAATAAATTAGGAAATAAAATTAGGTTTAACATAAAATTATACTATAATTTAGTTTATAAATTAAAGTACAATTTTCAACAATTGTTCTTAAAGGAATTATCATTTGCAAATAAATTATTTTAGCAAAACTTAACTGCTATAAAAAAAAAATAAAAAAAAATAAAAAAAAAAATTATGAACTTTTTTTAGTATTTAGGAAGTGTAACTCATCTAAATTTTGCTTAAACTTTTATTTGCTTGAACTTTTATATATTATCACCTAAACTTTGCTTGAGCTTTTATTGCATATATAAAAAGTCTACAAAAAAAACTTATAACTTAAACGCTTTCTACAACAATCATGTTATGAAAGAGACCGTCTTTATACCAACCATACTATCAGGCAAGATAATAATTTAAGTTCAGTATAGAAGTTTATCAATAATAATGCATGTATTGGAGTAAAGATGTATCTTAAAAACATGATATGTAATTAACAACAGTACTTAACACTTAGCAATTATATAAAAAAAAACTTGAATTTAAATCAAAAACTAAACACAATATGTAACTATCATTAGTTAATTCTAAACAATTACAAAAAACAAAAGCCAAAACTATTCTGGAATCATATTGCATTTTATCTCTAACTAGATTATTCATTATAAATAAGCAGAACTCACACTTACAACAGTTTAAAATAAACTGAGGTGATTTTTTCTATATAAATATTAGTTTAAATATTATAACAATATAAATAGTTAGTTAATTTTGTTAATTTAGTTTATATAAAACTACATTTACTCTAACTAGCTAATCTAAATGTTTAAATTATTACTTAAAGCATATGCTGTTAATTTCACTTTTTATTTTAAAATGATTATAACTATAAATTGCTATTTATCTTAATTAAAAATGTTTAGATTATTACGCTAGAAATATTACAATTTAATTTCTATTAGAATGGATGCAATTTTTTTGTATATAATTATGAAATAAATTCTTATAAGAAAAAAAATATGTAAAAAACATATAAACAAACCTGTTTAAATCTTTTATAAATTTTATTTAGACACAGATTTAACTGTTTTACAGGATTTAAACTCTTTTAAGAAACTGTTTTAAACAAAACTTAATAGACTAATTTTAAGCATGCTTTTTAATTTGAAACAATATTATAACAAAAACAAGTTTCATAAAATTCTGAAAAAAACAATATTTTCTTAAAAATAAACAAAAACAATTTTAAAAAATATCTCTTTCGCTCCTCAAACTGCAAATCAAATATTAATTAGTAAATTAACTAATATATAATATCTAATTAAAATAAAGAGTCATTTATTACCATGTTTTAACATATTATTTACTTGATTAATATATAACAAAAGATATTTTAAAAATAATACTTATCAACATTTTTAAGAATTGTAGTTTTATCTTAAAAACTAATTAAAAGATTTTTTTAAAATAAATACACAATGGTCTACATTGCTTTCTGTGTTTTAAAACTTTTGGACAAGAGTTTTTTTGGTGATCAAAGAAAAGTTAACTTTTGTTATATGTTGATTTTGATCAATTTATTTAAAGTTGTTCAAGGAAAAAATTTATGTTTTGTTGGCTTGTAACATGAAAAAGGGGTGGTTTCACATTAGTGATGCAACAATATTATATAATAGAAGAAAACAAGAGAAAGTGTCAAAACAAAACAAAAAATTAAAAGTATAATCACTACTAAAAATAACAAAAACCCTTTAAAAAAAGTCAATTATATGATTCAGCAAGCAGATTTAAGTAGCTCTTTAACTAAAATCCTGGGCGCAACTAAATCTAAGATTTATATAGCCATAATCCCAAAATCTTTAGTAGTATATCTTATAACTAAGATTTCCGTTTATGGCATATAAAAGATTGCTATAATTTTTTTCAACATGACTAAATCTAGCAGAAGCATTAAAACAAACAAAACATAATTTTGGGGCTTAATGATAAGACTAAATTTGTCTTCTTCTAGCTCTGGTCATGTAATTATTTTTTTTTAAATAAGTTACAAGTGTAAATTTTTTTTATCAACAAAAGTGTAAAAAAAATAATAATAAACATACCATGATAAATGAACATATTTTGTAAAGTTATTGTACAAATAAGGAAAAGCTATTCTATACTCAGTTCGAATCGGTTGACGTATAATGATTTTATTAATATCATTAAATTCATTCCAGTCTTCATCATATGTTGTTGCATCTCGAACTAATGGTTCAAATTTAGGTCCTCCAGGTATTGCAAGATTTAATGCCTTTGCAGTAAAAAATGATTTAAGGTCAAACAAATAAAAATAATTGTCATCAACTAAATCTGTCAGCAGTTGATTCCCTAATCTATACAATGTTGACATAATAGGAATAGAGAGATTCCATCTTCGATATGTTGTTCCGTTCATGTATCTAAAAAAAATTTAATTATCAAAGCATATTTTGGAATTGCTTGAGGGTCAACCTAGACAAAATTTAAAAAAAAAGAGTTTGGTATTGTTAAAACAGTCACTTTCTATAAACTGTCAATAAATGTCATTTGGATGAAAATGAAAATGTTTATAGAAAGAATTGGAAATTGTAATCAAAGAAACTTGAACAATTTTATGATATAAGTTTTTGATATATAAAATATTTTTTAATGCGCCAATAATTTATTAAAAAGTTTGATTTATTTTTCTTTCCCATTACCTATCATTATAGGGACAAAAATAATGTATTAATTTCTTCACACTCAGTTGGCTTAAGATCAACATTAACCTTTTTTAATTTTAATTCACCTCCCTAAGACTAAAAAGGCCACTACAGTCGAGGAAGCTATTTTTAATTGTGGTTACAATCCTCTCTTAACTCTATAACTCTAAAACACAAACCACGGGAAACAATTTCAGCAAGGTAGTTCTAGGGACATAGTGGGGATCAAAGCAGAAAGTGTTCTGGTTGATTGTCTTTAAAAAATGATGCAATCATTTGCATTTATTTATACTTTTGTATTAATGTGAGTTATATAACTGTGAATAAAATGAGATATACCTATGTATTTTTATTTTATATCTATGCATTCATAGATATTAAGTAAATATACATATATATATATAAAAAATATATTTATATATATATATATATATATATATATATATATATATATTTATATATATACAAATATATACATAAATATATTTATATATATATATATATATATATATATATATATATATATATATATATATATATATATATTTATATATATACATACATATATATACATATATATATAAAAAATATATATATATATATATATATATATATATATACAAATATATACATATATATATATAAAATATATTTATATATATATATATATATATATATATATATATATATATATATATATATATATATATATATACAAATATATACATATATATATATATATATATATATATTTATA